TTCACTGGGTCGTGTACATGAGTTTGTGCAATTTAGAAGTTTCCATTTTGCCTACATACTTACTCCCTCGATCAAATCATTGAACTCCTCTGGGTCAATTCTCATGTCCATAAAATGATAGAATTACAGAAATTGCTATGGACCTTTCTAAATTCTATGACTCTATAACTGCCTCAAGCATTTCCTTTCAAAGGTACTTGTCATGTTTTATTAACAAATTGGTTTAGTGAATGGTAGAAGAATGACTGGAGGGACAGGTGTTCACAGCTTCATTTGCTGTGGCCCCTGAGAGCATCATCTGGTGAAGGAAAGACCACATGCCTTGTGTTCACTGCTGGGTTCTAGGTGGCTAGACAGGGGATGGCTATTGAATGGATGGGTGGATGTATGAATAGATGAATGGATGGATGGAAGGATGGATGGATGAATGGATATGTGGGTGGATGGTGAATGATGGATGGATGTATAGGTGGACGGATGGATGGATGGATGAATAGGTGGGCAGATGAATAGATGATGGATGGATGGATAAATGGTGGATCGGTGGTTAGATGTATAGATGGATGGATGGATGAATGGATGGAGGGATGGATGGATAAATGAATATGTGGGTAGATGGGTGGATGCGTGGATGAGAGGATAGATGGATGGAAGGATGGAAAAAATGATGGATGGATGTACATGTGGATGGAAGGATGGATAGATGTGTGGATGGATAGTTGGATGGATGCAGGGTGGATGGGTGGATGCATGGATGGGAGGATAGATGGATGGGTGAATGGGAGAATAGATGGATGTATAGGTGTATAGATGGATGTGTCCATATCTATTATTATATATGTTCATTCAGGAAATGGCTTTTCTTTTCTGGAAGAACATATCATTTTATTAAAATATTTTGTAAAGTTTTCAAACTATATCAAAGTAATCACCCTTACAATCTCACAATTTATGCAACAAACTAACATATACTGATATTCATTTCAACATAAGGTGGTAAAAGAAAATTGCAAAGAAAATATAGAATTTATCTTGTGAACTCTTGGTTGGCCACTAACATTTTAAACAGCTTTACTGATATATAATTCACACACTGTAAAGTTCACCCAATTAAAAGAGACACGTGCACCCCAATGTTCATCACAGCACAGTTTATAATAGCCAGGACATGGAAGCCACCTAGATGCCCATCAGCAGATGAATGGATGAGGAAGCTGTGGTACATATACACCATGGAATATTACTCAGCCATTAAAAAGAATTCATTTGAATCAGTTCTAATGAGATGGATGAAACTGGAGCCCATTATACAGAGTGAAGTAAGCCAGAAAGATAAAGACCATTACAGTATACTAACACATATATATGGAATTTAGAAAGATGGTAATGATAACCCTATATGCAAAACAGAAAAAGAGACACAGATGTACAGAATAGACTTTTGGACTCTGTGGGAGAAGGCGAGGGTGGGATGTTTCGAGAGAACAGCATCAAAACATGCATATTATCTAGGTTGAAACACATCACCAGCCCAGGTTGGATGCATGAGACAAGTGCTCGGGCCTGGTGCACTGGGAAGACCCAGAGGGATCGGGTAGAGAGGGAGGTGGGAGGTGGGATCGGGATGGGGAATACATGTAAATCTATGGCTGATTCATGTCAATGTATGACAAAAACCACTACAATATTGTAAAGTAATTAGCCTCCAACTAATAAAAATAAATGGAAAAAATAAAGAAAGAATAAACAAACAAAAATAAATGAAGTGTACAATTCAATGATCTTCAATAGATTTATAGGGTGGCCCAACCATCACAATAATTTTAGAACATTTTTTTCACTGTAATAGGAAAATTTTACTCATCAGCAGTCACCTGCCTTCCCTGCTCACTTCCCCTCCCAACTCCCCATCCTAGACAATGGCTAATCTACTTTCTTTCTCTGTAAATTTGCCTATTCTGAACATTTCATATAAAGCAGAATTGAAAAAGCTTACATTAGCATAACCTCAGTTATGATATATCCAATTTCTTATTATGGATATTCACATATATCTCCACACTGAAGGAAGCTCACCTAAATATTAAAGTTGATGGTCTTTGATCATTTATACTAATCTTCATTTTCCTGATAATGTGTGTTCCTGATATTTTTCCTGATAACGTGTTAGTTCTCCATCAAAAGTTTGTTTTTCAAAGTTTTTAGAACATTGAAGTCACATTAATTATGCTATGAATGATTGTAAAGGGTTCATAGGATCCTGTTTTTTTGAGGGAATGAAGTATGAGAATTAAATTGAAACATTTCTACTTAACGATGAACACTTATCTTTTCAAACTGAGCAGTCTTGACTCTTAGTCTGTACTTTCCCCAGTCTTTTATTATCAATTTTACTTCAACTTATATATGATGTAATTTGTGAGAGGCTTTGAAATTCTTCCTGGAATGAAGCCAAAGATAAACATATGGGCTAAAAACACAAAGACTGATGAATTTAATGCCCATGCATTAGTTAGAGATGGACAGGAGAGGAAAACCCTTAAGAACTGAAATCCGTAGTGAGGTACAGTCACTTGCCTTTTCAGATTCGCCAACAGGAGAAATGCACACCAGTTTGGAATCTATGTTCTTTTCTTGCTCCCTCAGGATGCTCCTTATGTGTAAGGGAACGTGTCAGATTTGGGAACTCGACAAACTACTTCAGAAACGTGCACAGTGTTTATTAAAAATTCGAGGCTTACTGGATTCAGAGCTCTAGGGGCCACATCTGGGAATTTGTCCATCACTGCTCCCTGGATAACCTTGAGTGGACACAGAAGCTTGGAGCCCCAGAATGGAAGTCGAGTGGAGAGTGAGGACCTCGCAGTCTGATAGACACAGGACCCCTCTAGCCACTTCCCTCAGGAGGAGGCGCGTGGACCTGGTCACTACTGCCTGGACGGTTCCTGGAGAGGCTGCCCTGTCCCTCGGCCAGGACCCTGCCTCTACAACTGCTCCCCGCCACCCCCACCACGAGCTCAAAGTCCAAAGATTTGGGGGCCCAAGGGACAGGGTTTTCCCAAAGTAGACGACCAGTGTTTTTGTGTAAAAGCCCAGTGGCCTCACCAAAAGACTGTAAACCTGCTCCCTGAGTTCAAGGATGCTGAGATGTCGGAGGAAAGTGAATCGAGGATATGATTCATGCTCCTCTTCTATGGCCCTGGTCCCTGGCAGGGCTACCCTGAGGCCAGAATCACTTTTTCTGTGAGGTTTGCTTCCAAGGACCACCATCCTCTGTACCAGCTTGCATCTAACCAGGGTCACTCCGGGCGTTTTCTGCCCACAGATGAGGTCTCACCAGGAGCCTCGCTTCAAGGGCTTCCCTCATCTCAGGCTTGGTCTTGGAAAGGAATACTTCTTTCCAAGGGGCAAACACAGAACACAGGTAAACATAAGCTGTTTGGGAAAGGGTGAAGTATGAGGTTGGACATTCCTACAATCTGGTTTATATTTAATGTAGTAAAGTGAAGGTGTTTTGGTAAAATTATGGTTCAAGGGGAAAATAATTTGAACTGGACCAGATAGTTTGATAACTTCCACCTTGCTCTTAGGTTTCTGTAGAAAATAAAAGAGCTTCTTTATCAAGAGAAAGAAATCTGAGGGTAGTCTCAGATTGCAAAAGCATGAATTAGGGCTGTGTGTGCTCACGCACACATATGTGTGTGTGTGTATGTGCGTGTGCATGTGTCTGTGCATGTGTGCATGCCTGTGTGATTCCAAAGATTCTTTCCTGCTTTCATACTTTCCACAACCCATCAACAACTTAGATTATCAACAGGGTTTCCCTCTTTTTTCACGGAAAATAAGCTTTCTGCCAGGCAGATATGATTTATCCTCTTCGGGATGTGGAAAACAATGAGGCTTCAGAATGTCTTTGCTCTGCTGACGTCCTCCTATCTCCACAAACACCCTTCTCCCCTCCCTGCAAGCAGACCATTTTGTTCCGGTTGCAGCATCGGTGGCAGGCTGTGAGTGTGTGAGTGAGCTTCGTGTCTGTGGATGCCGTGTGTGTGTCTGTGTGGGTGTGTAAGTACGTGGGTGAGAGTGTGTGTGAATATTTGTGCATATATGAATGTGTGTATGTGTGTGTGTTCTGTCAGCATCCTAAAATTCATAATGTCTAGGAAACCAAGGTGTCCTGGGTCTTTCAGGTTCTGGTTGCTTATCCAATGCACCCAGGTTTAGTCTTTCTAATCCACTCTTGGGTTCTGGCAGCCTAGGGAGCTGGAAGAAATGGATGAGGGTATAGCCACAAGCCTAGTGCCTAGAAATTGGGTCCCCGGCCAGCCCCTCACAGCTAGCACTGACGGATCCCCGACTGGCAGGCCACTTTGGAGCTGCAAGCCCTGCATCACCCCTGAAGTTCCAACCTCACTGTCATTTCTGGCAACCTGGCCTCAGGCCCGAGACTATGCAGTGGGGTCACCTGGAACCCAGATTGTTCATTCCCAGGAGAAATTCTGTGGGTTGCCATGGATGGGTGCTGCTCCCACTGCTGTGGATAAAACTTCATAGAGGATATGTTCTCACATTCACAGAAGGGTTTATTGGAAGGATTAATCCTAAGTGTTTGATCCATTTTCAAAACTAGTTTGCCAGCCACTCCAATGATATGTACCACGAGAGGGACACTGCCCAGCCAGAGACCCAGCACCTTGTATCCTTGATTCACTTTCTTCCGACATCTCAGCATCCTTGAACTCAGGGTGCAAATTTCCAATGCTGTGGGTGCAGGGCCAGCCTGCAATCTCGTGAGCCGGTGCCCTGGGACGGGGGCTTGCTCAGGGTCTCCGCCACAGACATCTGCACTGGAGTCTCCAAAGGGCAGCTAAAGTCAGCCGGGCCAGGCTACCCTCCACCCTCATACACTTCCGAGAGGGCAGCCCCCGTCACGCACTGCTTTACCACTTCCTTCTCTTACTGGAAATAATCCCGCCTCCCTCTCGGACTCTCTGCCACAGGGGGCTGGCGGCCAAGTCCCTCACTGAGGGCCCTTGTCTGGCCAGGCGGGCACACAAGGCAAGACAGAGCAGGGAGCGGAGGCTGGGCTCCCGAGAGACCCCAGTGATGTGGGCACCCAGCCGGGGATGTGGCCACAGCGGTAATGAGGGTGAGAGCAGGAGCTTGCAGCTCCCCAGAGGACACCCCTCCACCCCCAGCCGGGAGTGACTGCCTCCTGTCTCTTCCCCACCATCCACCTTGTCCCAGCATTTTCCTTTTCCGAGAGCCAACTGAGCAGGTTCACTTTTGCAGTCCGTCCCCCTGACGTGAAGGGGGCCCCAAGATCTCACCAGTGCTCCTTACCCAGGTGCCTCTGCTCCGTGGTGACTCCAGAACAGTCCACTGTCTGGTTGTCCCCCTTCATTCCCCATCAGCTCACAGATGGAGAGTCACTGGGCACTTGTGTGTTGTCACAGAGCTGGCAGGGTCCTTTCCATGTGGCAGGGCAGGTGTGGACAGTGGTCCTTGGTCACAGAGAGGGTCACGTGCCCAGGGTCGCCTGGCCTGCAGACAGCATCCCCAGATGGGCGGTGGTCGCTGTTTTGGCCTCCATGAACCTACAGACCAAGTGGTCCCGGTAAGCCTCCACCTGAGGACAGCATCTGAGTGACTTCTCAGCCACCTCTCCTGCCTCCTCCCTGGGGCCGCTGGGAGCCATGGCCGGGCCCTTCCCGGGTCCTCTGAACACCTGACACATCTGCGGTGGCCTGTGCGGCTGAGCAAAGGCCCCGGGGCTTCCTGGCGGACGGGCTGATTTTCTTGGCATTTTCTTTGTTGTTTCTTCCTCCCGTTCCCATGGAAAAGTGGGAGCTGGGCTGGCCTCCCTGGCACTCACATGGCTGCCGCCCCAGGACCTGAGCAGGAGACAGAGGCTTAGTTCCAAGTCAGGAACAAAGGGCCCATCCCGGAGGCCGACTGTAAGGGAGACCTTTTCCAGACCACACTCCTGCCCTCCTTGTACCTTATTCCCATCTCTGGTAACACAAGGCCATTTCTAAAGGCTCGTCCAGCACTGGGCTGGCAGGTGCTACCCCAGAACTGGGTCCCAGACCTCGGCCCGATGTCATGTGTTCTCCCACGGGCGTGCATGATAAGTCACTTCACTCGTGTCCGACTCTTTGTGACTCCATGTACTGTAGCCTGCCAGGCTCCTCTGTCCATGGGATTCTCTAGATAAGAAGGCTGGAGTGGGTTGCCATTCCCTCCTCCAGAGGATATTCCCAACCCAGGGATCCAACCCAGGTCTCCTGCATTGCAGGTGGATTCTTTACCGACTGAGCCTTGTCATAGGGTGATTCAGACTTTTTAAAATTCTCTAAAACAAGTGATTTTTTTTACACTGCGCTTAAAGTAGACTTCTGAAAACTTCTCACAGAACAGAACCATTGTCCTGGGGATACTTCCATAGCTTGAGAACCCAGAGAATTTGGGTAAAGTGTCATTTCCACCAGGGGCATCTCCCTTTTCTCTCTGGAAGCAAAGGTGCTTGCCGACACAGTGGAGCAGGATGGAGCCTTGATGCTGCAGGGCAGAGAGCGAATGCCCTTCACGGAGAGCATCTGGCTTCCGGAGGAGTCAGCTGGCATGCCAATCTGCCTCTCCACCTCCCTCACGTTCTCCACCCCACTGACTCATCTGGAAAGAAAGTCTCTCTCTTGATTGACCCCAATATGGGTTAATTAAACTAGAATCCAACCGCTCATCACATTAGCCTTAGAGATAAGCCTTTCCTCCACATTTGTATTGGTATGATTATTTCCAGGTTCTGGGCAAGGCGGGGACACCCTCACCAATATCCTTAAAATTCATGCAGTTTATAACCCTGTTGATATACAAGGTGTGTGCAAACACCACTGGTGTCCCTATTGTCTGTACGGAGTGTGGGTCTCTTACACACGCATATCTCATGAATCCTCCCTCAAGAGAACTTTGTAAGCGGTGGGAACTGACATTTGTTTTCCCCTCCTGTGTGTCACTCGCTTCAGCTGCTCCAGTTTTCATCCCCTCTAATCCGCACTCAGTCCTGCAACTGCCAAATAATTTTCCTGGTTTACGTTACAAAAGTGCTGGGAGTCACCAAGGCTTAGCTAAAGCCAGACAGGTGCTGACAGATCAAGTCAAAGTTTGGTGAAACCTCAACACTTCCTAGTTCAGAAATTTCCAGCTACTCTCCCAAAGGCAGAGCTAACAAACCCAGCAATGCAGGAACAGGCGATGAGGTAGAAGCTCAGAACCAGGAAGACGGCCCGTGTACCCGGGGGTCAAACCAAAGCAAAGTTCAGCAAAAAGACCATGATGATAAACATCATAAACGCAGTGGCAGGTGTTTCAATGATTCTGTATCATCCTTTTTCCCAATAAGCATCTAGTAGGCACTGAAGCAGAAATGTTCATTTTGGATCTATGTGGATTTGCTTATTGGGTGTCTTTAAGCAGTGGCATTGTATTAATTACTATTCTATTTCCTTCAAACCCAAACTTTCATTTGAGTTAGACAAAAATAAAATTCATGAGCATGAACTAGCCATACTGTGTTTCTTTGAGCCCAACTTAATATTGTCATTGGCCGTGTCCTCATGTCTCCAAGGTCAAAAACACAGCCTCTTTCTCTCACAGTCTAGAGGTCAGTGGCTGGTTCCACCACTGGTGGGCATCACCCAGGCCATGGGTGCCCAGGTGTGGTCTGTCCCCAGTCTGCCCCTTGGTCAGTGTGGCCTGGCCTGCCTGGAATCCATCGAGACTTGGGGACACTACGGGAACCCTTTCAACTCTACCCAGCATTTTCAAGGACGGCTGATGAGATGCGAGGGTGACCCTGGGGACAGTTAAAGAGATGAAAGGAAGCTGCTCAGATTAAATAAGATTTAGGAAATAAAAGGATTAGCAGGACACAAAAGCTAGACTTAGCCGTTTATTTAGCCAGTGCAGTGTGGCATGCAGGGACGCAGGACATCCAGAAAGAGATAAAAGACGCTCACTCAGGGGGTCACAGGGCGGCAGGGATGAGCAAGGCCCCCTCCCGAAAGCCTGGCAAATCTTCTGATAATTGAAAACGAGTCAGAAAGGGATCCTTCCCCATGGCTAATTCTGGCGCCTCCACCAAGTAATAAGAAGAGATACAATGAGCAGTCATCTCCCGGACTGGGGGTAGGGCACAAAGAAGCTTAGGATGCAGAAAGCCCATTTTATGGCAAAGTCTTATCCACAGATCATTTCTATCGAGAGCGACAAAGCAAAGGTTAAAATTAGGGAGGTGGGGGTCGATATCATTTGTGGGAAGTAAAAATCTCGAGGATACTGTCAAATATTATATTAGTTTCAGCTGTATGACATAATGGCTTGATATCTGTATTCACTGCGAATTGGTCACCATAGTAAATTTAGTTAGCATCCATCACCACACACAACTCACAGAAAGTGTTTTTCTTGTGATGAAAACTTGTAAGGTTTACCCTTGCAGCATTAAGTCCCCAGGACTTACTCATCCTCTAACTGGCAGTGTGCCCTTTGACCCCATCACCCAGTTCACCCTCTCCCTCCCCCCACCTCTGGCTACCGCATCCAATCTGTTTCCCTATGTATGAGTCCAGTTTTTATTTTTTAAGAGTCCACATATGAGTGATAGCATGTGGCACTAGTGGTAAATAACCTGCAGGAGATGTAAGAGACTCAGGTTCAATCCCTGGGTCAGAAAGATCCACTGGAGGAGGGCATGGCAACCCACTCCAGTATCCTTGCCTGGGTAACCCCATGGATGGAGGAGCCTGGCGGGCTACAGTCCATGGGGGCACAAAGAGTAGGGACACAACTGAGCGGCTTAGCAGCACGGCACAGCACCACCACTGGTTCCAACTCTGCAAGGTGATAACCCCCAAGACCAAACCCTCCGTGTCATGTACACGACTGCCACTCACACATCTGCAGCTAGCTGGGAGGATGTCCTTAAACATCCACTTCTCTGGTTGAACTCACCTCTCTCGGTAACGCCAATGATTTGAATCCTGGCTCTCTCCTGGGGGCGGTCACCGGAGGAGGGTGTGGTTCCAAGCCTCCTTCATACCTGCTGTGCCCAGAATCCCTGGGTGGCGGGGGCGGGGGGGGGGGGGGGGGGACGGCTATCTCCCCAGTCTGGTGTCTTCTAATCCCTGGATCACTGTGCTTGTTAAACATCCCCTAAGGCTGTCCATGCAGAGTCTGCTCCAGTGCGAGGCTACAAAACCTGCCACCGGGAACCAACCTCAAGAGGTACAGTTGGTGGACATGACCCATCTGCTCATTTACGGGGCACCTGATGGCTACCTGGTGTCCACCAGAGCTGGAAGGGGGTGTTTAAGACACAGTCTTGGCCCTGGAGGAGCTCACGGTTCAGGACAAGGCATCCATACAAACAACTGGAATAAAAGCTGATAAAGAAGCAAGTTTGGAAGAGCAGTTTTGGGAACTTCTGAATGTTCTCCAGGAAACAGCAAGGGAAGGACATTTCTCAGGAGGAGGATTGTGGCGCGTGGGGTCATGGAGGCAGGTAGGAATCTGGCATGTTGAGAAAACCCCAAGCAAAGTTGAAAGGCTTGTAACCCAGAGTGAAGCGAAGTGGGAGAGGGAGGGAGGAGGGGATCTTACTCCAGCCCTGGATAGGGAGACCTGATGGAGGTGACATGTCTGCCTGAGACTAGCCACTCCATACAGGTGGAGCAGGGGGTAGCGGTGAGGGACTGCCATATGTTACCTGCCATCACAGTGATAAGGGCCACCTTGAACTTCATGTGTTACGACTCCTGTGAGTCCATTTATAGAACTCATTTCCCATAGATCGTATTTTTCACTGGAAATGGCATATTGTCATAAAGACTTCAAACAGGATAACACAAAGCTAGAACAATAAAGGCAACCCTAAATTTTATTTTTAGAAAGCCATATAGCCGAACTGATTTTTAAGAGAAAATAAAAGAAAGGACCTCAGCCTTGGGAACTGAGAGAGCTAAGTTATTTACCATTTTTCGACTGTTCAATTTCCGCTGATAGAAACAGGAAGGAAGCCGTAAAGGGCCTGTCCATTGAAAAGAGACCAAAGTAAGAATGCAAATAAATACTGCGGCCCAGTGGTTATGGTAAGTGACGAGCTCCAAGGGTTTCCACATCCTCTCCAGGGAAAAGAATGTTTTATGCTA